CTACCTGGCTGGGGTCATTTGAGCCCAGTTTCCCTCCTGCCCAGGCAGGGGGTCGGACTTGAAGATCTACAAGGTCCCTTCCGACCCGACTTCTATGATTCTATGATTCTATCTGTTGTTTGGGAGAGCTTTAGCCAGAGGAGATGCTTTGTTCTGTTTTGCATGAGGGAAATGCTACAGTTTCTGTTCAGGTCTGAAGCTAAATCTCACCTGTCTGTCCATGAGAAGTGTCTGAGGCATAGGCGGTGGAAGGTGGGGTTCTTACGGAGGACAAGGCGGGCACGGGGATCCCAGGGGCTCCGTCCCCTCCAGTGGCAGTGCAGCCAAGGCTGGCCCTGCTCTGGCCCCCAGCTCTGGGTCCCCCTGGGTGGTGCACAGCTGGGGCCAGGGTGGGGAGGCAGCTGGGGTTGGCGCAGCCAGGGCTGGAAGGCAGCCAGGGTCAGCGGGGGCTGGGAGGCAGCTGTGGCCGGTGTGGCAGCCAAGGCTGGTGCGGTCAGGACCAGGAGGTGGCCAGGGGATGCCGCTACCCCCCTGGCCCTTTCCCCTCCCCCGTCAGACTTTCCCATGGTGGGGGTGGGGGTGTGTGCATGCATGCACGTATGCATGCTCAGCCCCACCCCCTGCAATTTTTTTTCTTACACCGCCTATGGTCTGAGGACTTGATTTTTCAGGCTGGTGGTCAAAACAAAGGTATGTTTGGGGGAATTACTAGCAAACTAAGAAGTCAAAGAATTTCATTTTAATTTAGGGATTTGCATTTCAAAACAAACACATTCAGGTGAAGCATCAAACAAAGTTGTTTTTCAGCTAACATATGAACCATCTCATTTTAAAAATACTGAACTGAAGTGTTACATTTGTTTTGTTCTTTTTTCCATTTTCTTAGGCGATGGAATTGGAGGATTTTCAAATGCCTTCACAGAATGCTTTGCTTAGCTTTATGCTTGGTGAAAAAAAAATTTAGTGCAAAGAATTTTGTCTTGCCATTGTGCTTGTAAGAGTCTTGATTTCACATGCATGACATACTTAACACTACCTCAGTGTGGAAGCATCTGCTTGCATTTCTGAGAGTCTCTGAAATACAAATTCCTCAACTAAAGGGAACCATATTCGATTCTTCCAAGGGTAATTGGAGAAGGGGCTGCCCATGAGCATGAAGGGCCACCTCAGCTTCCACACAGAAAGTCTCTCTTGGATGTCCATTCTCATCTCCTGAGAGAAGTTTGCTGTTCCCACTGTAATGGTGCCCATCACAGTAACTTGAACTCCTTTAACTTCTGCCCACCCCTGATTGTCATTCTGAGAAGGACTTCAGCTCAGCTTCCATCTAGGGGCCACTGTATAATTCACCGCCGTCATGCACCTGGAGATGCAAAGATTGTCCTTGGAAAGCTAAGTGTGATGAGAGCCTGCTGTTGGTTTCATTGGCTCACTCTTGATTCCACTCACTCTTGCTCTGTGGATGTTTCCTTGCAGGAGTCGCATCATAGGAGAGACACCAGAAAATTAACTCTTGGGCATCATGCCCTTGAGGAAGACATCTCAGGGAATGTGGCCAAGAGGTACCGCATTTCTGTTGAGGTAGGAAGGAAGGGGATACGGGAGGGGTTTTTATCACAGAACATAATGGACCCAGCACACTATCAAGGGAGAAGTTCCCCATGCCCAGTAACTCCTTGGTACAGACTGAGCAAACTTTTGCATCCAGAAAGATTTGCTTGTTAAGTGGAAGTTTACCACTGGATCAATGCCTGTTACACTGACCCTTCGATGAGCTTACCAGCTAGCAGCACTTTAGCCTTGAATACCAGGGAAGATCAGGCTTTATGCTGGATACTGATCTGCAAGTAAGTCCGTCATTCAAGTCCAGAAGCTGTTGTCTTCTACCTTGGATGTGGAACTTCCTTCCATCTCCTCCTGGACAGTCCCTTTGGGGATTCAACATTTTAAGTGTAGCTTCAGTCTGTGGATGCTCATTTAGGGTGGCGGTAGGCTATTTCACAAGTGATCTGGACATCTAAACCTTCTGGAGGTTTGTTATCCACAAAAAGTCTGATTTTCAGTCTCACTTGCAATATTCCTCATGTTGTATAAATCAAAGCTTGTTTGAAGAACAATAGATGTGCAGAATCCCATCAGCTTCAGTAGAACATGTGCACGGGTGCCCGGGTGGGAAAATCAAGGCCTTTACTCTTCCTATATTATCATTTTGTTACATTACAGTCATAATGTCCTCCACGCACAGCTCTGGGTGGGAACTTGGGTATGTACAAAGCCAAATCCCTGGAGTCCTGGGAAATCCCTGCACCCACTCTATACACAGCAGTGACTATTAATGGTTGCCATAACAGGTCTCATATAACTATATCTTGTACCCAGTGCATAAGGGCTGTGTGCCCCTTGCCTAGACTCACTGTCCATTCTCACTTCCTTCCCCTCACCTTGAGCTCCAATAAACCAGCCTCTAGCGGGGAACACCCTCTTGTTACAAGTCCGAATTTTTCACTCCAACATGATGAAACCATGTCCCTCCATGAGCCAATGTCTGTCCAAACTCAGGAAGGTTTAATTAAAACTGAGGTTACCTTTTAGAACTTAAGCATTCTTTAACTTCAAATAGCAGGCTGCATTGAAATCTTACGTGGCCATGGACATATTTGGACAATTTTTGGTGGAATGGGGATCAGTAGCTATTCAGCGCGGAGTTACGGATACAGGCTCTGAATCAGAACATCCCAGACCTTAAATGCTGGAAGATGTACGTGAGAGAGGAACAGTGGAAGAAAACCTTGGTCATACACGGTTCACTCTCCCTTTCAGCATCCAAACTTTGCTGCTGTGCAACATGGGAGACTAGGCCAGATGAGCCTATGGTCTGACCAAGTAAATAGCAGTTTTTATATTGCAAGCCATGTGAAATCCAATTTTGTGGAACTTGTCATATTGAATGAAATAGTTTTAATGTTTGTAATAGTTGCCCATTAGCCAGTTTAGGAGGAAGACAAGATTTATCTTCTTATCTAGGCCATTGTTTTGGCCTACGTGCGGAAGGTCCTGACTTTGCTCAAAGTCTTAACTTTTGAATTTTATCTTTAGAGGCCTTTAACAAAGAGAACCTAAAAATGACCCTTAAGCAAATATCCCGAGTTCCGAGAGATCAAACCCTAGGGCCTTTTGACAAGATTGGAAAGAAAAGGTCACTTGCAGTGGTATGGAAGTTCCCCAAAGTAATTAAAATGGTCAAGAAAGAAACTAATTACCAAGCAAAAGAATCTGTAAAGTAAGATCCGAGCCCAAATTTGGGAGTAATGACAGGTTTGGGTAGGAGTGGCCCAAGACGGCAACTCACTCAATAAAATCCGTAACCTACTCTCCCAAATTGGAGGTAAACTTCACTTGCAGATAAACGAAGGAAGAATCGCAAGTGTAGACCGGATCAGACTGATCACCTGAACCACCCTCTCCGTGAACACGAATCTCTTAGTTCACGCTGAAGCTGCAGAGCGCCCGAAAGGGACTGAAGGAAGGGGACATAGTCCTATCAGTATTGAGGCCAGCCCATTGAATCGTATTGCTGAGGCGAGCCCATTGAACCGTACTACTGAGGCCAACCCATTAAATTGTACTACTGAGGAATTAAACCATATCTAGGTGTTTGGCTTCTCGGAATTCTAGGATTGTAAGTATATTATAAAAATAATAGTATTGATTCAAATTTAACTTTTAGTTGTAATTGTAGTTGTTTTTGTAATATTAATTCTTATAACATTGTTTGGGAAGGAAGTGCATTCAGAGTATTGTTTCTGATATATGTAATTATTGTGTTTTTAATGTTTGTGATATTTCTTAAAGCTAAGCAGTGTTATATGCGTAGCAAAGAATTTTAAAATAAAATTGTGTTGTATGAATTAAGAGTGTAATCATTGTGAAATCGTGCAATCAACTAACTACTCCCCCAGCCAGTGCATCAAAACGAATCAGTAAATTGTGTGGGATTTTCTCTATTCCATAACCCACTAGAGACAGAACTTACTTAGTCCCTAAGCCAGTGGTATGCAGCTCATGAATCCCAAGCAACATGCTGCTTGTGAAACCATTGGGAGTAGTTCACAGGCCCAGGACATGAAAGGTCAACTGAAGTGGAACAGGAGGGCAAAGTATGATGTTGCCCAGAGCACAGTGCTTGCAGGGTATTGTTGCTTTTCAGCTGGTGAGTGCAGGGGATCATGGCCTGAGGGAAATGAAGCCTTTTAAAATCCTACGCAGAAGGAAGTTCTATATTAAATCAATCTAAAGGTGCCTTCTAATAGCAGAGTGGACACCTTTATACAGCATCTTAGCTGAAATATTCTTACAATGTGATTTAACTCACTGATGAATGCATTGCCTCTCCCAGTTTTCTCTGCTGGTCTCTGCAAGGACTGGATCAGAACTCCACAGAAGTCAATAAAGAGACTCATTGACTTCCTGGGGCTTTGTTTAGCTCTTCACCTAGTTTCAAATCCTGTCCTGTCCTGTAAATGGCCCCTGGATCTTTTTGCCTCTCACTATTGCAGCACATGATTCACCATGTTAAGCGCCGGATGATGTTCTTCTGCTTCTCCTTTGCTAAGCTCTTGGACTTCTTGGTAGCTTTATGGGTTCCAAAATCTCACAAGTAACACAAAGCTTCACTTTCCAGGCAAGCAAACAGCCCAAGCCAGGCTCAAGTCAAGCACCATCGTGTAAGATGCCAACACGGAGAGCAAAGCACACTCCAGCCCTTCGAAGGAAGGTATGAAATCCCCTTAGTGGAAGATGTCACCACTTCATTTTACCAGTAAGGATGCTTATTAAAAATAGCCAACAGTTGCCCTCTTGAAGTGGGATGAAGATTTTTATACTGAATTTATTTTAAAGGATGACTCTGACACTGCTATTGGATTGGGTTGATGTTAAAGGGGTTCCATATGTTGTTTCTTCTCCATTATCTTCTGTAAGGACAGGTACAAACCCTGAAGAAGCCAGTGAATACATTGCTCTGAGTTTCCTGGCTTTCCTTCAGTGTTTTGTCTGTTATTTCATGCTTTTCTTTGGCTGGGGGCACAGAACCGTTGGAAGACTGTCAGACTACTTGTGTTTTCTTTCTTTAGATTGTGGCAAAACAAGAGCCTGCTTCCAGGAATGTCCAGGCAGGTCAGGAAGCCCCTTCCCAGGGACTCTGGCTTCCACTTCAGGTGATAGTTGAACACTGCTGTGGTTCAGTGGGTAGAATTTCTCTCTACCTGTGGGGACCCATTGCCTCCAGGTATGAGGAGAATTCACAATGTGAACTCTGCTTTTAAAAAGGCTTCCCCTCCATTCAGGGTGTGAGGTGTCCCTTGTTTCTGGGAGTCAGCTGGTTTTCTGAGCCTACCTGGGCTGTTCTCCCTCATGGCTCTCTGGGCAGAGACTGCCAGCCCTCTGCTCCTCTGAGTTCCCAACTGTTTGCTCCCCTATTGTCCGTCAGACAGGATCCTTCTCCCGGTCATGTTTATGGCCAAGGAGTAACTTATCAGGTCAGAGGGAAGGCCTTTGGGGTTTCCACAGTCTCCTGTGTGGATCAGTTGTCCTGTCTGTGAAAAGGAAATAGCCTCTGCTCTAATCCCTAAACACCATGCAGAAACTTAGTGACAGGGCCCCATCCAAGACTTTTCCTCAGGTGACTATCCCCCTGGCTTGAGTGGGACATAGCCCCATGGCCAGAGCTTCAAGGTCAGAACACAAATGCTATGGACCAATCCCATGGCACCCAGTTAGCAAGTTGGAAAACATTTTGCAGCTAGGAGTTGTCCCTGTCCAAGTGCTAAATCTGACCTGTGAAATGCCTACAGAGCTATTCCTAGTGAACGGGCACAGAACTCTTCCTGCCTGGGGCAGCTCTGGCCCTGGTTCAGGAGCAGCAGCAGCTGGGATAGTGGGGGACATACTCCCTCTGCCCCAACCCAAACCCCAGGGACCCTCCAGGGGTTCTGTGCTGTCGCAGTGCAAGAGCTAACTCTGTATTTTACTTTCCAGGCTTGGGTCACTCCAGATCCCAGCCCAGGGATGTCGGGGAGGGGCACCAGCAGGAGAATAGAGGAATTGCCTCGCCCATTGGAGAAGTTGGTGAGTGTGAAAGTCAGGTTTCCTGGCCCAGGGACATTTTTTAAATTCAGCCTCTTAGTTGCAGGAGCACTTTCCTGGGAGATGTGCTTGACTTGCCGTTTGGGATAACTGTTATGTGAATGCCCAGCTTCCCCCTAGCCACTGCACAGGTGAAACCATCTTCTGTGCTGGAAGTTCAGTGCCGAGGCACCCCTGTGCGGCCAGTGACCTGTACCAAGCTTAGATGGAGTCCAGGGCTAACTAGAAAGGTCACGTAGCCCTGTGGAGAATCTGCAATCTCGAGGAGTTTCTGTGAGGGAAAAGCGCAGACTGATCAGTGACGACTCCTTAGTCAGCAAGTGCCTGAGTGTATGAAAGGCGCCTTCTGCTAATGACCCGATCTTTTCAGAACAGAGACAGCGGCGAAGCTGCCGTGTCAGGGAAGCAGCTGGGACAGGCAGAGGTGAGTTTCCCTTCACAGTTGCTCCTTGAACCTGGTCTAGGATCCCCTCAGACTGTGGACATTGCTTACCCCTACCCATGGGGACACTTCACACTGCTGGAGGCTGGATTTCCAACATGTGACCCAGCAGGCAGCAGCTGTCAGTACTGGGAGGACAGTAACCCACGGGGGCCACCTTATGTCCCTGATGGAAGTTTCTGACTCATGGGACTTTACTGATATTAGTCAGGACCAACTACTAGCCAAGTGGACAGCATGGACAGAGAGAAAAGGTGATAGAAATGCAACATGCCCTCCAATTCCCATCTGGGAGCATGCCACTGCCATCACTCACATTAGTCCCCCTGCCAAAAAATCCAACCTTGTGATGTGGGATCAGACCTTTGGTATTGCTGGAAGCAGAGGTTTGTGGCCCAGCCTCTCCCAGGCTCATGATGCAGGAAACCTTGTACAGAAATTTTCCCTTTGCAGGCTCTGCCTTTCTCAGACTTTTGCACTGAAGGGTCAGAGGATTCATGTTCTGTACAGACATGTATAAAACCCCATCGTGGGGCTGTTAGCCAATGTCTGCAAGCCTGAAACCTGTAAGCTCAGGTAGTAGAGCCTGGAGGAAGAAAAACAAATTGGGGGGGTGAAAAAAAATTGTGTGGGCAGAGCATGCGCATGCCCCCACCCCCACCCCCACAGAAAAGTCTGTGGGGGGAAGTGCCATGGAAGGAGGCGGCATTGCCCAGCACTGCGCCCTGCCCCAGCCTCAGGGCCCTGCCCCATTCCCAGCCTCGGTGGGCACCGTGCCGACCCTGGCCCGGGCCCTGTTCCTGGTAGGCATTGCACTGACTCTGTCCCCAGTGGGCGCCGCCCCAGCCCTGACTCCGGCCACGCGTCAGCCTTGGCCCTGGAGGGTGCTGCGCCAGCCCCATCCCTGCGCCAGCCTTGGAACTGGTGGGAGCCGCACTTGTGCCGGCCCTTCCCCCAGCCCTAGCCCCCCTCCCTTCCTCACTGCTGCCTGTGGGCACCCCTCCCCACTCCCGCTGCAGCCGCAGGAAGGCCGTGGCTGAGCTGCCTCCCTGCCCTATCACTGCCCTACGTTTTGCCGCCTGTGCTGGCAGCCTGAATGGATGGGTGAAACTCCCAAGGAACTTAGGAGGCTTTTGTCGGGTGGTTAGAGCCGTAGCTGTGGCTTGAATTGCTGTGAGTGATCCCCTTGGTTTAACGGCACAATCTCCCCTTGGCTGGTGGAGCAGATGTGGTCCTGTACCTGTGGGAGCAGGTTTTGGAAACTATTCGACCGGTTAAAATTCCCCGCAGGGAAACAACTGTGGGAATATGCTGTGCCTACAGACAAGTTTTCTGGGAAGGACTGGCATCTGCCTGAGCCCCAATCTCCACCACCCGGTCATCTTGCCCTTCTCTCCTCACAGAGCAGACACAGCCGCTTCACTTCAGTGTTTTCTCTGTTATTTAATGCTTTGCTTGGGCTTGGAGCACAGAGCCCCTGGAAGACTGTCTGACTACTCCTTGTGTTTTCTCTTTTCAGACTCCTGCAAAAAAAGAGCCTGCTTTCATGGATGGCCAGGCAGTGAAACCAGCCCCATCCCAGGTACCCTGGCTTCCCTTTCAGCTGACAGTGAGTGCTGCTCTGGCTCCATAGGTAGAATCACTTTCTGCCATTGGAGATTGCTTGTCTCCAGGCATAAGGGGAATTTGCAGTGCAGTGAACTTTGCTTTAAAAAATGCTCCCTCTCCCTTCAGGGTATAAGGCACAGTCCCTTGTCTCTGGGTGTCACCTGGTTTTCTGCCCCTACCTGGGCTGTTCTCCCTCTCAGGATTAGGCTGGTCTTTTGGGACTGGGTCCTGGAAAGGAAGCTGAGCAGTGCTGGCGCAGTGGTTCTTCTGGGTTAGGAAGACCTTGAGCCAGAGACAATGCTACATTTTGTTTGGCCTGAGGGAAACGTTCCCATATCTCTTCAGTTCTGAAGTTAAATCTTCCCTGTGTGTCCATGAGAAGTGCCTGAGAACTTGATTTTTCAGGCTGGCAGCCAAAGCAAAGCTAGTTTTGGGGGAATTACCAGCAAACTAAGCAGTCAAAGAATGTTTTGACATTTCCATTTCAATTTGGGGGTCTGCATTTCAAAACAAATATGTTCAGGTAAAGCCTCACACGAAGTTATTGAGCAGCTGGGGTGTGAACCATCTCACGTTAAAAATACTGAAATGAGGTGTTACATCTCTTCTGTCCCTTCCCCCTTTTTTAGGCCATGGAATTGGAGGAATTTGAAATGCCTTTGAACATTTATTAGCTTAGCCTTAAGATTTGGTGGAAAAAAGTTTAGTATAAAAACTTCTCTCACACTATCATGTTCCTAACAGCCTTGATTACACATGCATGTGACAATTAACACCACCTCAGTATGGACACATCAATATGTGACTCTAACAGTCTTGGAAATACAAATCTCTTCACTGAAAGGAACCATATTCCCCTCTTCCAAGGGAACTGAGACATGGGTTGCCCATAGAAATGAAGGGTCACCTCAGAATGGATCTTGTGCACTGTCAGGGGAGAATTTCTGTCCAGAAGATGTCCAGGCCCAATAGCAATGCCAGGTCTCTCTGAACCAGTTAGTCGGGAAGGTGCCCCCCCTGCCCTACCTTCTGCCAGACTCCAGTCTAACACAGCCGACCCCCTCTCTCCACTCAGGGATCGCCAAAGGTGCAGGAGAGACGAGCCCGGAGAGACATCTGCTTGCTGCCCTGGGTGCATTTTAGAGCAGCTTGTAGAGAAAGCCTGGCTAAGTCCCCCCAAACATCCACTGAGGTAAGGGAAATGAATAGTGAAATCATCAAGTTATGTTTTTCCAAAGAGAGCAGTGGGTGGAGTGTGAGGCTTTCCCACGTTCACCTCCTCTCCTTGGAGGCAGAGGGGTGGAGCTGTCTTTCATGGGGGCCCAGGCCAAGTTACCCAGGCACCAGTGCCCAAAACCCCTGGGCTTAAGGTCAGCAAGATTCATGAAAGAGAGACTTTCCCTGTCCTAGAAAAATTGCTTTGCGGAGTGGAGCTGAATGTACACAGTAGTAGTTGAGTTACAGTAACAAGAAGGGCCCATACCCGACAGTGCCGGACCCTGTGCTTCGTGACATCTCTGCTGAGAGGCTGCCAGCCACCCTCTCCTTGGTGCTCCCAATTTTTCCTCCCTGTTGTCAAACTGGATTCTTCTTCAGTTCATGTTCATGGCCATATTGTAAGTCATCAGGTCAGGGGGAAAGCCTTCAGGGGTTTCCGCAGTCTCTTGTGTGGATCAGTTGTCCTGTCTGTGAAAAGGACATAACCTCTGCCCTAATCCCTAGACACCATACAGAAGCTTAGTGACAGGGCCTCATCTGAGACTTTTCCTCAAGTGAGGATTCCCCCGGCTTCATTGGGACACAGCCCCATGGCCACAGCTGCAGGTTCAGAACAGAAATGCTGTGTTTGTTAAGTTACAAAATGAAACAAATTACCCCTCTCCACCTCCCGAATATCTATGAAGCCCTAATTCAGGCTAGAAAGACACTGTGGACCAATCCCATGACATCTAACTTGCATGTGGGAAAGCATTTTGGAGCTAGGAGTTGTCCGTGTCCAAGTGCGCTCGTAAATCTGACCTGTGAGATCCCCACAGCTAGTCCCGCCAAAAGAGTGTACACGTCTTCCTCCTGCAAGACCACAAACCACCTTACATTAAAAGTTCTTAAGTGTTTAAAAGCAACTAAGTGTTTAATCTAAAATGCACCACATTTCTGTTGAGTCAGGAAGGAAGGAGAAACGGGATGGAGTTTTTGTCTCAGAGCAGAATGGACCCCATGTGCTGTTAGGGGAGAATTTCTCTCCAGAAGGTGTCCAGACCCAAGACCATCCCAGGTCACTTTGAACCAGTGAGTCCTGAAGGTGTGCTGTTTCATAGCTCAGGAAAAGGCAGGAAGACTTCTTGCTCTCAACAGGGCTTTATTGCAGCTACTAACACCCACAAAAAGATGGCTGACAGCTCCTTTTCAATGTCTTCATGTCAACCCTCAGGAAAGGAGTTAACCCTTACTGCTACAGACGGTGCCTTCCTGCCCTGCCTTCTGTCTGACTCCAGTCTAACACAACTAACCCCCTCTCTCCACTCAGGGATCGCCAAAGGTGCAGGAGAGACGAGCCCGGAGAGACATCTGCTTGTTGCCCTGTGTGCATTTTACAGCTTGTAGAGGGAGCCTGGCTGAGTCCCACCAAACATCTGCTGAAGTAAGGGAAATGAATAGGGAAAATACCAGGTCACAGTTTTCCAGAGACAGCAGTGAGCGGAGTGTGAGGGTTTCCCATGTTCACCTCCTTTCCTTGGAGGCAGAGGGGTGGGGCTATCTTTCATGTGACCCGGGCCAAGCAGCAGTGTCCAGGGCCCATAGGCTTCAGATCAGCAAGGTTCATGAAAAAGACTCCCACTGCTCTCGAACAATTGCTTTGCAGGGTGGAGTTGAATTTACCCAGCAGATATTGAGACCTTCTCTGTTTAGCTATGATAACAAGAAGGGCCCATCCCTGACCGTCCTGGAACACATTGCTTCATGATCCTATCCTCTGTTCCCAATGCTTTACTTCCCCATTTTCCATCAGACAGGATCCTCCTCCAGGCCATGTTCATGGCTGAAGAGTAAGTCATCAGGCCAGAGGGAAGGCCTTTGCTTTCGGGTCTGGCAGTCTCCAGTGTGCATCAAATGTCTTGTCTGGGAAACTAATATACCCCCTGCCCTCATTACTAAATATTGTGCACTAAGGTGCATGATATTTCTTTCCTGCCTATGCAGGGGGTCGGACTCGATGATCTATTGAGGTCCCTTCCGACCCTAACATCTATGAAGGTAGTGACAAGGCCCCATGCATGGCTTTTCCTCAGAGGAGGAATCCCCCTGGCTTCAGTGGGACATAGCCCCATGGAAAGAGCTGCAGGGTCAGAACAGAAATGCTTTGTCTGTGAACTTACAAGATGCAACAAATTACCCACCCCCCCGTCTCCTCCCAGATATCTAAGAATCCCCATTTGAGCCTGGAAAGTTACTTTGGACCAATTCTATGGCATCCACCTACTGGGTGGAAAAGCATTTTGGAGCTAGGTGTTGTCCCTGTCAAAGTGCTTTGCTAAATCTGACCTGTGAGATGCTCACAGAGCTATTCCCAATGAACGGGCACTGGACTCTTCCTGCCTGGGGCAGCTCTGGCCCTGGATCAGGAGCAGCTGGGATAGTGGGGGACATACTCCCTCTGCCCCAACCCAAACCCCAGGGACCCTCCAGGAGTTCTGTGTTGTCAGAGTCCAAGAGCTAACTCTGTATTTTACTTTCCAGGCCTGCCTCTTTCCAGATCCAAGCCCCAGGATGTCAGGGAGGGGCACCAGCAGAAGGACCAATGAATTGCCTTGTTCATTGGAAGAGTCGGTGAGTCTGAGACTCAGTTTTCCTGGTTCATGTGGAAAATTTTTATTCAGCTTCTTGGCTGCAGCACCGTTTGGCTTGGAGATGTCCTTGTCCTGCTTCTTGGGAAGCTGCTACAAGAGCACCCAGTTTCTCCATAGCCACTGTATGGGTGAGACCCTTCCCTGTACTGGAACCTGGATGTGGGTCTCCCCTGTACTACCAGGGACCTGTGCCAGGCTCAGGTGGAGCCCAGAGCAGACCCAGATGGTCACATGGCCCTGGGTGAAGCTGAATGAGCTTCAGAGGCAGCTCCATCACTTCTACCCTCAGATTAGGGGGGTGTTACCAGCAATGTCTCTTGGTGTTTAGTAGCCCCACAGCTGGGACTCAGAGGAAGCCTTAGGCACATCATCTGGGGAGGGGCCCTAGGCAGGAACTGATAGCAACTGTGTGAGGTTTGGGAGGCCTCATGATGGAGCAGGGGCCAGGAGCTGAAGTGCTGGAAGAAAGTGCTGGTTAGCAATGGAGTCATCAGTTTTGACTGCACCAGTCTGCGAGCTGTGTCAGCTTTCACCCGGGCACATCCATGGGCATTGCCAGGGGTGCCTGTCAGTGGGGATTGGACTGTGGCTAGGGAATTGTGTTGGTTTTAATCAAACGAGTTGTCTTGGTGGAGTCATAGAGTCACGAGATGTTTGGCTGGAAGGGACCTCCAGAGGTCACATCTAGCCGAACCCCTTGCCTGAGGCAGGGTCCACCCTATCCAAACCATCCCATACAAACCGTAATCTAAACCGGGGGTGGGGAAAATGGCAAATCTAGTCGGTGGCTGGACTCTATTTCCCAGCTGCCCCTGCCAGCATTTTCAGCCGGACTCCATGGAGACCCCAGGAGCAGTGGGGCTGTGACAGCGCAGGCCAGGGTCTCCATGGAGACCAGCCCGAGTGGTGCTGGCAGGGCACATGGCTGGGCCGGGAGCTGCTCCAGGGCTGAGGCTGGGATTTTGTGGCAGTGACAGTGCAGTGCCCTTCTTATAGAGCAGACACAGCCAGCTGTCCCTGTGTCCACAGTAACTCAGCGCCGCACAACCCCCAGGTGCACACTGCAGAGACTGCCTTCTCTGCCTGTAGCCCCTGGTCCCTTCTCACTCACACAGTGCTGGGCCCTTGGCTGAGTGTTTGAGCAAGATGCCCGGTGGCTCTCAGCTAACGGCCACGTGCTGTGTGAGTGAGGGAGAATGGGGCCGTCTGAGGGAGGAGGACATACAGTCCCTGGTGTGCACAAGAGGTGATTTGGAGGCAGCAGGGGTGGCCTTTCTCTGAGTTCAGATCTTTTCCAACAAAAGTGCCTTATCGTCATGTTGTGACAGGGTTTGAGTGGTGGTGTTGCCACGATGAAAACATGCGAGAGGTAAGGGGTTCTGTGGACAATATCGGGCCAAAGCTTGTCTCAGTCTGTTCCAAACATGCAGCTGATCCAAAAAAAAAAAAGAGCTCAAGCACAATAATTCTTACTTCTCAGGTATTCGTCTCCTCCTCCTCTTTTATAGAGTTGAAACTGAAATCCCGTGGAGATGTTCTCCACAACCAGCTTCTGTATCTTTCCATTTATCCCGGTTGCAGCACCTGAGCAGAGACTGGAAGTGCTGGGTTGGGGGACAGTTTTCTGTTGTCCCAGTCCTAACACAGTGGGGCTCCAAGGCACCTCTCAGACTTCACAGTCCTGGCAGTAACATTGTGCTAAACTTTCCAGGCAGGAACAGTTTGGAGTCCTGGTGAAGCAAAAGCGTCTGAGAAGGGGATGGTCCAGTATGTCCTGGAGTCATTGCAAAAGGTATCATATGTCTCTTACCAGTGAACCGCTTTTCCAGTCCTGCACTCCAGCAATGACTGTGTAATAAGCAAGCAGTCGAAACTAGCCTCTCGTGCGTGGGTTGGAACATCTTCACATGGCATCTCAGCTGAAATTATATTGTACTGGTTTCTAATTCACTTGATCCCACATGAATTCTGCTGGCCTCTTGTTCTCAGTTGTTTTCTGTGACTTGGTTCTGAATGTTTCTTTTCACTGGGGAAACTGAGAGTCAATCTGAAATATTTTAATGTTTCCTTTCTTTTGTTTCCAGATTCCAGGCAAAAACTTTGTAGCTTGGCACAGCGTCCGAAAACTGCTGTCCTTGGTTAGTCTCCTCTTCAGCTCCCCCAGTGCCCCCTTACAGTAACTGCTTTATGCAGCCTCAGGCCTGTATAGAGAGTATCTTCAGACCTACATGAATTGGGGGCTTCCAAGCCCTCATGTGATTTATAGTGATGGGGACTTTGCGTAAAGCAGAAGTGGCTGGCCTCATGAGCTGGCTGAGTTTTGAAGGCAGCTCTATCACCTCTACCCTTAGACTTGGCTTGTGTTACTCATCAGTGATGTCTCTTGACACCTAGTAGGAGTCCCAGATTTGGGACTCAGGGGAAGTCTTCTAGGACACATCTTCTAGGAAGGGGCCCTGGGCAGGAATTGATTGCAGCAACAAGAGGTTTAGGAGGCCGGACCCTGGAGCAGGGATCAAGACCTGAACAGCTGGATGGAAGTGCTGGTCAGCAGCAGAGCCAGAGGCTTTCAGTGTCCCATCGGGGAGCTGTGTCGGCACTCACGCAGGCACAGCTATGGGTACTGCCAGGGGTGTTGCTCAGTGGGGATTGGGCTGTGGCCATGGCGTTGTATTGGTTTTAATTCTATGAGTTTTCTTCTCTTTTACTGATGCCGTGTCATGATGCCTTTCACTGCAGACACTGAAGAAAATCCTAGGGGCTGTACTCCGGCATTTCCCACACCCCACCGGGAACATAGACTGGGACCCACAGCCACCAGCTCCCCCCCGGTAAGATGCGAGAACAGTAGAATCCCAGTGGCTGCTTGGTGGCAGAGCTCAGTGGGGCGAGGTCCCAGGGTGTGGTGCCTGCCTCCTCTTGGCACCTTGGGAAATCTTCCTCATTGCATGGAGGTGTTGTGTGGGCATTGCTTACCCCTACCCCTGGGGAAAGTTCCCACTGCTTGAGACTGGATTTTGAACATGTGTCCCAGGCAGGCAGTAGCTGTCAGTGCTGTGGGAACAGCACCAGCTTGCGGGGTCTACCCTGTCTCTCTGGTTCTGACTCTTGTGACTCTGCTGGTGTTAGTCAGGACTAACTTCTAGCCAGTTGGGCTGGATGGATGAGTGAAGAAGGCTCTGATGGGCTGGTGCCCTGCATGTCATCAAGGTTGTCCTCAGACTATTTGCTAAAGGGCCTGACAAGCAATTCCAGCTGCATGGTGGTCTCTGCTCATCCCTATACATCACCCTTTGCTTTTTCCCCCTCCTATGCCACCTGGGAAGTTGCTGAGAGTTTTTCTGCTGCTTTTTTGTGTTTCAGGATCTGGTCTGTAGGGCATCAAGTCTGGAGGAGTCGATGTGGGGGGCTGCACAGTGTAGGGAGGAGAGAGCAGCTGTGAGGAACATGAATCTGCAGGTGGTTAGGGCAGAAAATCAGCACCTGAATGCTACTCCCCCTGCTCAGACCCATCCCTCACCACCCTCTCTGCCTCTCCGCTCCCCTTATATATTATGTTAGGTTAGGTTAGTTTATATTGTATTGTATTTTTTATGTAATATTGTATTTTATTATTTCATATTATTTTGCATTGTCATGCACTGCCTTGTATTATATATACATTGATGGTTATTTATGTGCCTCTGTGTTTCTTTAGACAGATGTAGCCATTTATTGTAGCCTGTCCATAAAATGCAACTGCACTGACATCTATCTGGGACAGCTGGGTACAAAGCAGCAGTTGTTCCATCCTGCTCCCTCTGTGTGGAGCCATGCCATGTGTGTAGATATGGTTGGGACCACCCCTGGTTTCCTGTTCTACCCCAGTGCTGGTGCACATCTCCTTCAGGCCTTGGCACATTCTGGAAGGTGGGAGGGAAAATGCATTGGGAATGCACAGACTGGGGTACAGCCTGTGTGCAGTCATGTGCAGAGGATGCTGCCTTCTGCTTTCCTGTTTTGTGGACCTAAAAAGTCCTCAGTGGCTGCTACCTTGGTATGGTCTGATCTCAGTTCCTGCCCTGATTCACAAGGACACCCAGGTATCTGGGTCAGCAGGGAATCAGTGTCATCAGCATATGAGCTATGCAGTGGATGTGGGGGTGTGACCACACCACTGCACCCCTGGAAGAACCGGAAGTGTCTGCAGCAGGAGGAGAGGCCAGGACCCTCTGCTGTCTCTGCAGCACCCGCTGTACTCTTGTCTCTCTTCCCTGGCTCCCTCTTGTCTCAGTGCTGGGGCTGAGTCCCACAGCAAAGCAGAGCCAGGTCTCACAGCTTTCCCAGCTGCATTGAGAAGCTGGCCTGGAAGAGGGCTTCTTCCCTGGCTGGTGGCAGCTCCACTGCAGTGAGCATCACTGCTCTGGGTGGGCAGATCCCTGCAGTGCCTGCGGAGTCCCATGGACAGCTGTGCAAACCCTCCTGCACAGCACTGCACTGCATCAGAGCGAGTGGACATTGGAGCTGCCCCTATGTGGGAGGACTTGGTGGGAAGTGACAAGGGCAGGTTTTCAGGGTGACGCCCCACCCCTCTCCATGATATCACTGTGCATCTGCCATCATCCTGCACCCGCTGTTCGGCTCACTCCAGCAGGGTGGGGGAGTGTACCTGTGGGGAGAGAACAGCAACACCAGCACTTGCCTCAGCAGTGCCTGTGTGTAGGTGGCTGGTGAGTCCCATACTCCTGCCCCCTCAAAGTGAAGGCAGGGCCCCCATCTGGCTCAGAGTGACATTGCATTTCCCTGCATTTTAGGAGAGGCCCATTTTAACCATCTTTGCAGCAGCAAGATGTTGGCTGCTGTGGTCCCCCTGTAACCATAAAAACTGACTGTCCACTTCTGTGAGGCATTGCATAGTAACTGAGCTTATGCAACTAAAAAACTAAAAGCAACTAGCTAGTTAAAGCAGCTGTAAATTTGGTCAAAGTAGAAACTTTGTCAGGGACAGTGGGATGAAGATGTTCAGAAAGAGAGAAAGTGTAGTCAGAAAAGTCTGCCTGGCTGGGGGTATTTGTGCCAACAGGGTTTTAGAGACAGACCCAAGAGCAAAACCTCAGTGATGCAAATGACCTCTAAATGGGCAGTAGTGGCAGCCACCATCATGGGGAAAGTAATGAAGATGCAAATAACAAAAGGCATAATGGTTGGATGCAAAGGGCGGGTGGATTACTAGACTGCTGTATTACTAGACTGCCCCCTGCACGGCCCAGCTGGACCCTGGGCTCTCTGATCAACAGGGTAGGAAACAAGACTTGCTTGCAAGGTAGCTAGTGCATTTCTAGGTATGGGGAGTGTGTGCTGTCTGCTGAATAAACCTAAGTGAGTGGAGTGGAAAGTCCAGTCTCTAGAGCTTTCTTTCTCCCAATGACCTCCAGATTCCCCAGTCTAAGGTGCTGGGGTCACCCCTCAGCTTCAGCTGTGGCAGGTTCATGTGTTATGTCTGATGTGATAGGGCTGATTGTGTAGTTTGCTAAGTGGCTAGACAGTGGATATATCTGGGATGGTTTGGACAAAGCTGATCCTGCCTCAGGCAGGGGGTTATTAGATGTGAACTCTGGAGGTCCCTTCTGGCCCCACTGCTCTAGGATTCTGTCATCTGACTTGAGCAGTGCTCAGCCCCGCTGCCTGGAGGTCTGTGTGTGGACTGCCCAGGGTGACTGCAGAGTGAGACCTGGCTTTTCCTTCCAGTGTGTCCCCAAGAGCAGGGAGTCTGTTCAGTTATCAGCACCAAGAATTAAAACAGGGGTGGGTGGCACAGAGCTGTGTCTCCCTGGAGAGGCAGGAGGGGTTTAGCACAGCAGTGGGTGAGGTAACACACAGGCACAGCTGGGTTTCCAAGGCAAGGGGTTTGGCTCCCCTCATTGGTGACTTTCTCAGCTAAGTGCCAGGAGCTGGCTGGCATCTGTATGTGTGCAGAGGTAGCAGGGAGGCACCAGGCTGCTGGGGAGATGTGTTCCTTTATGGGGAGTTCCCTTAGCACACAGCCCTGGTACCGCACGAGCTCCATCAGAAGACACAGGGCACAACTCACCCCCATGGTCACTGAAAAGTGACCCCCGCCCCACAGTCCTGCTGCTCCCATGGGCCCACTGTCCATCTCTGCCCACCCAGTCACTGCCCATGTGCTCTCTGCGGCAGGGATACCTTCTTGCCTGTGTTGTGCTCCCCGGCCCCACACTGCTCTGGCGGCTGCATCCCACGGGAAGGGCCACGAGCCCTCTCTGACCAACCCATGAGCGACATTTATGGGAATGTTCCCCACTTGTGACCTGTGTGTGACCCTGGCATGACCCCTCGAAACATGGCACAGCCTGGGCTGCTCAACAATGCATCAGTGCTGCTGGCCCATGGTACCAAGAGCAGTGTGTGCAGGAGCTGGTGCCCTCTGTTCTGGGAAGCACTGGTCATGTTGAGTAAGGTCTCAGGAGTGCAAACCAGTGCAGCCCAATGAGTTTGGTGCTGAGAGCTCTGGAGACCGCCCCCTTGGTAAGGCCTGGGGTCCTATATGACCCCTCCAAAGAATGGCAATGGCTCCTGGGTGGGGAAGAGGGAGCACATCCCACGTGAGTGAGCACATCCCACGTTCATTGTCCCTCACTTTAGACTGCTTGTTTCTCTCCTCTGGAGCCTGCTTTGAGTCCGGGCATTTCTGATCTAGGTCACATACAGCTGCAGCTCTGGGGGAAGGCAAACTTCACTGTTATGGGAACATTGTCTTCTTGTCTGTCAGCCCCAAGATCACAGTGCTGCCATGAGTACAGAGATGTCAGTGCTACAGCTCCTAGTAACTGTCCCAGTTAGAGCCTAATGCCAGTACAAAGCATGCTGGGGATGTAAAGCAAGGACGAGCAACACAAGGCATTGGTGATGGGTCTTGTGACAGAGTCCAGAGGAGTGAAGGAGGCTCCAGCACTGTGTCCGAGGGGCTACTGCCTCCCCTCCCGCCCTGGGCATCATGCCCAGATGGCCATGTTGACCAGCTGAGATGGGCGACAGGCTGAGTTGGGAATTACTGAGACTCATTTAGCTCTCTGACTAGATGAGCTCCCTGTGCTGCTCATCCAATGATACTGCCAGGGGAGACCCTGAGTGGATCAAAAGTGACTACAGAGCTCTGGGTGCAAGGGTGATGGGGTCTGGGGTTCAGATCATGCTCTCTTCAATCCTTCTGATAAAAGAAAAGGGCCCGGGCAGGAATGGGTGCATCCTGCAAATCAATACCTGGGTGCACAGATGCTGTCGCCAGCAGGGCTTTGGCTTCTTTGACCATGGAATGATGTTCCAAGAAGAAGGATTGCTGGGAAGAGATGGGATCCACCTGACCAAGAGAGGGAAGAGAGTCTGTGCAGACAGGCTCGCTAACCTAGTGAGGAGGGCTTTAACCTAGGTTCACCAGGAGATGGAGACCAAGGCCAAAGTAAGTGGGGAAGTGAGAGACCTGGAGGAAAAACATGCAGGAGCAGGCAACAGGGGAGGTGCTCTCGTACTTCCTGAGAAATCAGGGCAATCAACTAGTTACCTCAGGTGCCTGTACACAAATGCACGGAGCCTGGGAAACAAGCAGGAAGAATTGGAAGTCCTTGCACAGTCACAGAGATATGATGTGTTTGGAATAATAGGGACTTGGTGAGAGAGCTCGCATGACAGGAGCACTATCGTGGATGGGTACAAACTGTTCAGGAAGGACAGGCAGGGGAGAAAAGGAGGAGGAGTTGCACTTTATGTAACAGAGCCATATGATTGCTCAGAGCTGCAGTATGAAAGTGGAGATGGACTTGTTGAAAGACTTTGGGTTAAGGTTTAGAGGGGAGAGCAAGAAGGGTGTTGTTGTGGTGGATGTCTGCTATAGACCACTGGACCAGGAGGAAGTGGTGGATGAGGCTCTCTTCAAACAGCTAGCGGAAGTTTCCCAATCTCAAGCCCTGGTTCTCATGGGGGACTTCAATCACCCTGACATCTGCTGGGAGGGCAATACAGCAGTGTGCAGGCAGCCCAGGAAGTTTTTGGAGAGTGTTGGTAACAACCTCCTGGTGCAAGTGTTGGAGAGCCCAACTAGGGGCCATGCTTTTCTTGACCTTTTTGTGACAGAGATGAATTGGTGGGGAATGTGGTAGGGGATGGCAATGTGGGCAGCGGCAACCATGAAATGATTGAGTTCAGGATCCTGAAGGAAGGAAGGAAGGAGAACAGCAGAGTAAGGACCCTGGGCATCAGAAAAGCAGACTTTGATTCACGCAGGGAACTCATGGGCAGGATCCCCTGGGAAACCAGTCTGAGGGGGAGAGGCATTCAGGAGAACTGGCTCTACTTTAAAGAAACCTTACTGAGAGTGCAGAAACAAACCATCTCGATGCACAGGAAGACCAGCAAGTATGGCAGAAGATCAGCCTGACTTAGCTGGGA